TGCGACATGTACATGGGTGAATAGTAATTACTCATAACACTATATTCCACCCTCAAACAACCACAAACTAAAGACAAGACTACTACTACTACTACTACTTCTGCGCAATAAAATACCATGCTTATACAAAATCTATGGACACAAATAAACATGATTGAATACCATACCAAAACTGAACGAAATTAACTCATAGATAACAACTCATTGCTCGCTCAATTATTATCTGATTTTTAGGCCTAATTGGTGGGGATTGTATCAGCTCCATGAATAAAACTTCATTTGTTCAAGATTTTATAGCTTTGAACAGCATAAAAACATCTGCAACAAAACAGAGTCAAGTAAAATCAAAGCTACTCTGTGATCAAGTCTAGGATAATTTACAGAACGATAACGACTAAATAAATCAGGATTGTTTTCAATATCGTCAACAATTTTCATTGATAAATCCAACTATTCATATCAGGCTCCATAAAAATATAATCCAACTACATCTCGACAATCTTTTATCTATGCTCAGCAAGTACTAAATGCATCAATAAGCTATATGTAGTGACTACTATCCTACTGCATCATACAACTCACCTCCATCGATGCAAGTTGTAAGGATTCTTGAGAATTTGAGCAATAAGATTCCGGTTGAATTTGAGAACACAAGTTCACACGAGATTCACTACGTTGTATTGAGTGATAAGAATTTGACGGTCCTGATCTATTCTCAGCTTTGGAAATTTTCGGCCATATACCAGGAGTAACACGAAACAATCCAGTCAAGAAATTAGAACCGTTTAAAATAATTTCACGATTTAAAGATTTCTCAATATTGGTAACGCAGTCCAGAACTTTGAGAGAATGGCGGCAATTCTCCTTATCTGGACAATCCTTTATATGCAGTTGACTATTCATTACCGTGCTCTGATGAAATAGAAAACACGATAACTAAATAAGTAGCTACAAAGTAGTAGTAATATCGCATCGATTTTTGTAAGGTGCTTGATAAACTACACCAGTCACTTAAGTTATGGAACGACTTAGTTTTAGCTCAACAAGTAGACGAAAAACCAATTGATTAGTAGTAACATTAGATTCTAGCTCCATGTGCTCAATCGAAAACCGTGTTTGGACACATCAAAATAGATCTAACCAGTGAATTAGTATACAATTTTGTAAAACGGGAAAATGATCTCATGTGACGTTTACCTTTCAGTAGACAGAAACATATTCAGCTTTGAATTTCTATTTGGAAGTGTGACAATAGAAATGATCTTAAAACACTTACCAAAGTTATCATATTATAGAAAACTGCTGATATGGCCAGGAGAGAGGAATCCGGTTTCCTTCTTGAAATGATTTCAATTTAGCCGTAGGTATATGGCCACTGGCAGGGAAGTCCTAGTCACTACATTCTCTAATTGTTTACGGAATTGAGAAGTAAAACCACTGTTCAAACAGAGCTCTAGGCAGTTGGAAAACCTAGATTCCATACTGATGTTGCACATGCGCTTCAGGTTCTTAAAGTCACGAATGTGTATGAACCTATCATTGGTCACTGGCTAGAATGGGAGTGTTTCCAAACATTGCTTCTGTCTTGCGGATTAGACCTATGTCAAAGGCCCAGGAGTGAACCACGAGAAAACTAGCTGTTTCAGTTTGAACACATGGAAAGTATTCAGTACACCGACAAATTCCATGACTCCAGAAGAGCATAAATATTTACAAACACATTTATACCAGTGTTTATAGGCTAAGACATAATATATTAATAAATTAGTACACTGACCACTTTATTAGAAGCTTTTGCAATAGCAAAACATTAGTCAGAGCATGCTTTGCCCCTTAAATGGCCCCCTGAAACAACGTTTGAATTAACGCGATATAAGCGTAACACACTAACGTCATAGAGTGAACCAATCAAGACTTAAGAAGAGCATTATCATAGCATGAAAACATATTAGTTATTTTTACACTTCAAAAAAAACTAACTGATTAAATAATTTTAAGTATCAGCGAGCATCTTTACCTAGGTCTGATGGAAAAAGAACAAATACCCCATCTTCAAAATGCTTACTACGACCTACTAAGGATGTCCAATATCCAATATCTTTTCCTTGAGCTAGTATAGACCAATCGATTTCTTCGCGCTCGATGTTTGCCTCTTCGGTACGGTTACCAGGAATCGGTTAGTGTACAATGGATAGTAGTCTAACCACTCGACTGCAATAATTCTGGTCAGCTGATAGTTGTTTATGAATTTGCATGTCCTGTGATTTGAATGAGTACGTTTGTTTCAGAGTAGTGAGGTTTCTAGAACTAGCAGATATTACATTACCAGGTCTCACATCAGTCAGTTGTAATATTGAGAATAATAAGGATAACAATCTCATGCTAATACGAAGAAGACTTCAGAACTTAGTAAATAAAAGGATAACATAGTTTAATAATTGGTAGTGAAGATTGTACGCGAGGACGGAAGTGTATAGACAAGGGGAAGGAGACAGATAATAAGTGAGAAAGATTAGGCTAGCGATCTGATTAGATGGAAACAATAAAAACTAGCAAGTTTCAACACATGCATCAGGCACAGCTGGTCTAAGAGGGATGAGAGAAAATGTCAGACGATCGCCTCCTTAAGAGTATCGTAGACATTCAGGACATAATAAAAGAGATCCCTCCGACCGGCACGCTGTAGCTGAACTACTAGAAGTAATCACAGAATAAGTCCTAAATTCCGCACAGTACAAACTGATGATAGCACGCACATCAATTCCGATAACAGTAGCCTGATTTCAGTCCCTCGAATTGCTTATTATGTCCTGAATGTCTACGATACTCTTAAGGAGGCGATCGTCTGACATTTTCTCTCATCCCTCTTAGACCAGCTGTGCCTGATGCATGTGTTGAAACTTGCTAGTTTTTATTGTTTCCATCTAATCAGATCGCTAGCCTAATCTTTCTCACTTATTATCTGTCTCCTTCCCCTTGTCTATACACTTCCGTCCTCGCGTACAATCTTCACTACCAATTATTAAACTATGTTATCCTTTTATTTACTAAGTTCTGAAGTCTTCTTCGTATTAGCATGAGATTGTTATCCTTATTATTCTCAATATTACAACTGACTGATGTGAGACCTGGTAATGTAATATCTGCTAGTTTCTAGAAACCTCACTACTCTGAAACAAACGTACTCATTCAAATCACAGGACATGCAAATTCATAAACAACTATCAGCTGACCAGAATTATTGCAGTCGAGTGGTTAGACTACTATCCATTGTACACTAACCGATTCCTGTAACCGTACCGAAGAGGCAAACATCGAGCGCGAAGAAATCGATTGGTCTATACTAGCTCAAGGAAAAGATATTGGATATTGGACATCCTTAGTAGGTCGTAGTAAGCATTTTGAAGATGGGGTATTTGTTCTTTTTCCATCAGACCTAGGTAAAGATGCTCGCTGATACTTAAAATTATTTAATCAGTTAGTTTTTTTTGAAGTGTAAAATAACTAATATGTTTTCATGCTATGATAATGCTCTTCTTAAGTCTTGATTGGTTCACTCTATGACGTTAGTGTGTTACGCTTATATCGCGTTAATTCAAACGTTGTTTCAGGGGGCCATTTAAGGGGCAAAGCATGCTCTGACTAATGTTTTGCTATTGCAAAAGCTTAATAAAGTGGTCAGTGTACTAATTTATTAATATATTATGTCTTAGCCTATAAACACTGGTATAAATGTGTTTGTAAATATTTATGCTCTTCTGGAGTCATGGAATTTGTCGGTGTACTGAAATACTTTCCATGTGTTCAAACTGAAACAGCTAGTTTTCTCGTGGTTCACTCCTGGGCCTTTGACATAGGTCTAATCCGCAAGACAGAAGCAATGTTTGGAGACACTCCCATTCTAGCCAGTGACCAATGATAGGTTCATACACCATTCGTGACTTTAAGAACCTGAAGCGCATGTGCAACATCAGTATGGAATCAACACAGAACCAAGTCGAACATCTCTGTATAAATAAAAGTTCAAAATTCTGTGTAAGACATAAGAACCAAGAGAGCAGATAATGTAGATCCAGATCATCACTGGCTGGAAGCCAAAATGAAACTGAAACTCCAGAAGCACTGGACAACGCAGCGGAAATCATCACAAAAGTATAATACGGCCACTCTTTGTGATACTGGTAAGCTCAACGAATGCGAGATAGCCCTCAGCGTTATGTTACAGGCTTTTCACGATCTAATCAATGGAGGGAATAGAACCATGGAGAAAACTTAGAAAGTGGTCAAGGAGAAGGCAATCACTTCGAAATATCAGGACGTTCTGGGCTACAAGATTTGGATGTCTATTGCTATTCTGGATAAGGTTCAGGAAATGAGGGACAAGAAGGCAGCAATCAACATCAGCCGAACAAGAGCAGAGAGAGTTAAGGCACAAGCTGAATACACAGAAGCAAACAAGCAAGTGAAAAGGAGCACCAGAGCCGACAAACGAAAATATGTGGAAGATCTAACAATGACGGAGAAAAAGGCTGTAAGAGAAAGAAACTTGAGATAGTTTTATTATACAACAAAGAATCTCGCCGGGAACCATCGTAAACCAGAACGACCAGTGAAAAGAGAGGAAGGCAAAGTAATTGGCAACACTGAAGAACAGCCAAACAGGTGGGTAGAGCACTTTAAGGAACTCTTGAATCGACCAACTCCAATGAACCTACCCAATAACGAATGAGCATCTACTGACCTCCCAATCGGTGTTGGCCCACCAACAATTGAAGAAACTAGCATGGTCATCAGTTGAATCAAGAGCCGCAAACACGCGGGACGAGACAACATTCCAGCAGAGGCAATGAAAGCAGACGTGGAAGTAACTGCGAAAGTATTCCACATTTCCTGCAACAAGATTCGGGATGGAGAACATGTACCAAGCGACTGGAAGGAAGGATACCTCACCAAGATACCAAAGAAAGACCATATGGCAGCATTACGTATCATTGTGGAACAATCAGTTGAATGGAACTCACCACTCTACATCAAATTCATTGACTATGATAAAGCATTCGACAGCCTGGACAGGAAAAAACTATGGAGGCTTCTTCGACAGGACGGTGTGCCTGAGGAAATAATCAACATCGTACGGAATTCCTATTATATATTAGACTGCACGATCGTGCATGGAAGACAGTTCACAAACTCTTTGCGAGTGAAGACCGCTGTCATGCAAGGTTGCTTACTCCCACCTTTACTATCTCCTGGTGATCGACTTGATTATGAAGACATCAATATCTGGAGGAAAGCACCATATCCAACGGGCAGCTGGACAATCTGGACTTCGCAGATGACCTGGCTCTTCTATCGCACTTGCAACAACAAATGCAAGAGAAGACGATCAGTGTAACAGCAGGTCGCAACATACATAAAGGGAAAAGCAAGATTTTTCGACACAACGTAAAATGCCCTAACCAAATTACACTTGTGAAGATGCCTTGTAGGACGTAAAAACCTTTACATAACAAAGCAGCATCATCGACAGTCAAGGTGAATCTAGCGCAGATTTAAAGGGGTGGATCTGCAAAGCAAGGTCTGCATTGGTACAATTGAACATCTGGTACTCCAAACAAATATCAACCAACACCAAGATGAGAATTTTCAATGCAAATGTCAAGCCAAACTTGGAGAACTCAAAAGACATCATTCAGAAGATACAAGTATTCATTAACAGTTGTCTACGCAAAATACTGAGGATCCGTTTGCCAGACACCACCAGCAACAACCTACTGTAGAATAGGACGAACCAGATTCCAGAAGTAAAGGAAATCAGGAGGAAGTGGATAGGACACGTCGAGGAGAGCACCCAACTGCATGACAAGCCCACACGTGGAACTCTCAAGGTCAAGGGACACATTGTGCAGAGAAATGGAGGCAGACATAAGAAGGAACAAAAATGGACGGAACTGGAAAGAGGAGCCTAGGACAGACTAGGTTGGAGGATACTGGTCGGCGGCCTATGCTCCAATGGGGGTGACAGGCGCAAGTAAGTAAGGAACTCACAAGTTGCGTGTTTGCATCTAAGGACTGATTTTCAATCGCGACCGAAGCTGCTACCTTGACGTGGTGGTCGGGCTTGCCTATCGTGATGACCCAGCCGAGCTATACTGGCTGGAACATATGTTCCTGCAGGTCCTACCATGCCAGGCTGGTCGAACGATGAGACTAAAAGCAGCTACCCAAGGTCTGAGGGCGAAGTCGTACTGCTGACTGCAGAGGGGTGTGACAGCAGTGAGGTGTTTCCCTCGGACAACCAGCATCTGCAGCGATGCTGCCTTCTCACAAGGAAGGAATGGTTAGAAAAGGTCGGCCCTAAAAATGTCACACCTCACCCTAACTCACGGATTTCCGTCTCCTTGGGTAAGGGTGCCCACTAAGGGCCTTTAAGAATGGAGCTAACCCTCAAAATACCTTTCATAAAAAGGCCGTGCGTGACCGGCCTGAAGCAGTTGTCCCTTGGACTCTGCGGTCACGCACCAACACTAATCTATCTTCCTTTTCAGGTTCCTCAAGAAACAACCTTCCACAGTGTGCGGAACCGGGAATTGACAACCGCCCTCATACCCGCAACAGCACACGAGACAAAATTGTTCAAAATCAAATCCTTCCTACATTCCCTAATAACTCTCTTATCTCCACAACTAACTCTTCTCACATTCATTCATCACAGTGCACAACAGCTAATGCAAACGATGCGAGTTTGCGAAACGTCGTTCCTGGTCTCCTTAAACCCCGTTCCAAACTACATGTTGGAGCATTCAATGTACGGACATTGTGTCAAATAGGGCAACAGGCATCATTAGCTATGACTTTAGAATCTCGTTCCATCGATGTGTGCTGCGTCTCGGAAACGCGCATACAGGATCCGAGTAGCATCACTCATTTGACCTCACCATGTCAAGATAAAGAAGCAGCTCGATTTACCCTTCGTGTATCCGGTAGCCCTGATGCTGCTTCTAGGGGCCTCGCCGGTGTAGGTATAGCATTGAGTCGTAGGGCAGAACAATCTCTCCTTGACTGGATCCCTGTAGATAGTCGCTTGTGCGCCGTCCGACTCAACGGGACAGTAAGGGCTCGGAAAGATAGGCAACAACCAGTGTCCCTATCTTTCC